GATAATATCCTTTTAAATTTTAAAATATCAATTGTAGCTTTATCTTAATATATTTCATAATTTGTTTTTAAGTTTAAGTTTTAGTATATACTATATTTTACAAAATGTAAAGTTAGAGTAATAATATTGTTATATTTTGTAGGTTCCATACGTAAGCCTTTTATTTTTGTCTTTGACATTGACTTAATCAATTAATATCTTTTCTCTCAATTAATCTTTAACTTTTTTTTTAATCATTGTAAATCTACCTATAACTCATCTATGATATTGTGTTTTAATTATGATTTAAAAACAATATAGAAATTAATCTCAATAAATGTGTTTATCTTAAAAGATGGTAGGCCGTTTGCTATTTCTTTCAAGTGACTAAAAGTAAAATGGGTTGAAATTATGTACTATTGCAAAAAAATGAAATCTTTTTTAATATATAAAAGCAAATATTTTCAAACTTTCATCAAAATATTTGGTTATGATTTTTTTACTGAATAAAAAAATAGTATATTTATTCACCTGATAGAAAATCACTCAAGAAATTAATATTTAAATAATTATACTAACTTTTCTTTCCATAAATTTAATGAATTAGATGGATCGAAATATTTTAGAAAAGAAAATTTGTGACAAAAAGAATTTTGAAAAGATATTATCAAAAGAAAAAAAATCAGCAGCCAGATGAGTTACTATCTTGAGAGGAAAACTTTTCCAAATTATACCTTTAAGCCAAGAAAAGTTCCTATTTTTAGAGACTTTCTGCCATTTTATGGACAAACTACTCCAAAACTTGCAAATGAAGAGTTGGATAAATTGGAAACTACTCTAAGTCTGAAAGCGAAAACAAATATAATTGATGAGATTGAACATGATCCTTCAGAAATAATAGATGATAAAAATGATTATGCAAGTGATGAAGATAGTGTTAGTAGCAAGTATAAAGCTTTTTAAGATAGTATTTGGAGTAATTGTATTACATATTAAATTTATTTTTATTTTTCTTTTAATGTTTATTTTATAAATTCAATAAATGTATGAAAATTATTGTCTTCATCACCTGATATTATGCATCATTTAGTTGTTCATATTGTTTATAATAAAAATTTGTTCTTTTGTCATTAGGTTGTCCTTAAATGTTAGCCATACTTTTTTCATTTATCTTTATTTTGTAATCTACTTAATTGCTTATTGAATTGAATTAAAGATTAATTTTTGGGTGTAGATTTTCAACCGACCTTCATAATTATCTCATTTTTGACAAATCAATCCAAGGTATGTTATAAGCTAACTTTGCTATATATCTTTTTTGTTTTTTATTAAATATGAAAAAATTTACATGGTTATACATAATACTATTTTACATGCACACTGATAAATAAATAAAAAGTTAGACATATAGATAGATTTTGCAATATATGATGTATATATACATGATCTCAAAATAATTTTATTTTTCAATTATATTTTTTAATTTAGAGTTTTAAATAGGTCAATGGAATCAAAAGAATGTAGGCAACAAAGACGGGATATTTTAAACCAACGTGAAACTAGGAGAAATGTTCGTTCACGTAACTCTTTGTTTGGAAATCAACAAACTTATCCCATTTCAATTGGTTCATCATCGACCATTCCAGCACCAACTCGACCAATGAATACAATTTGGTTATCCCAAATGAATATAGAGAACGTTTGTCCAAATATTATCAGATTTGCTAATGAGTCACCTCTATTGGTCACATTTACTGGTAATAGTTCAATAACAGAATATAATTCATGACAATATTTAAGACAAGCAATAGCCATTCCATCAATACTGCTAATGCCGATGGAATTATCTTCCATTCTAATCAAGACTCCAACATCTCAGAAAATAATGCAATTAGCAAAAAGACCATTGTTACTAACTTTGCAACCATTAATGATGTCAAGAGAAGATTTTTATACACATTCTACCCCCCATTAATTCCTCTTTAAGATTGTCATTTTTCTCGACGTGTCCATCAACTATGACTTAGACAGATTTAAACTTTAATTCAGCTTTTCATCTTGAAAATGATGCTAATTATTCCTCACAAGGTACATTACATTCATTGCGTGAATAAATCAATTTTTAAATAAAAAAACTTTCTTTATTATTTTTATTTAAATTTAAATCGTTAATGTAGACGGTGAAGAACCTATAGAGATAGATGGTTATCAAGTTGAGTTTGATGGTGAAGAAAGTATAGATCAAATGACATACATAAGTAAGTTACAAATAAGTTATATTATATTAGTTAAAAAAATAATTTAATTAATACTAAATTCAAACAACTATAAATATTATTTATAGGAAAATATCTTGAACCATGAAACTTTGAAGGACCTACAGAAGTTTGTAGAAGTTGTGGAGCAATAATGTGGTATGAAGAAAGAATTGATAAACACAAAAATGCAAGAAATCCAAGGTTTGGGTTATATTGTCTGAATGAAAAAATTCAACTACATCTATTGAAAGAGCCCTATGATTTCTTAAAATGATTGCTTGATCATAATGGAGGCTAACGTGTTGTGAAATTTAGAGATAATATTCGAGTATATAACTCTATGTTTGCATTCACCTCTATTGGTGGGGTCATAGATGAGAAAATTAATGATGTTGGGGTCCACATATTTTTAGAATTAGTGGACAAAACCATAACAAGATAGGCTCTTTATTTTCAACCAATGGTGCCAAGCCTAAATTTGCACAGTTGTATATATATGATACACAAAATAAGGTTACCAATAGGTTGAGGGCCATAAAATCCAATGAATTTAGCAATAGTTTGGATACTAAAATTATTTGTGGCTTGTTGGTAATGCTTGATGAGCACAACCAACTAACAAAGGTATTTAGAATGGTAAGAGATAAGTTTTGAGAGTCAGATTATGTGCTTGTAAGTATCAAGTTGATTCGTACATGCAGAAAGGATGATCGACAGTATAATTTGCCAACTGCATTAGAAGTTGCTGCTCTAATTGTTGAAAATGGTGATGAATCGACAAGTAAAAGAAATGTGGTTATACAAAAGAATGAAGGTGGCTTACAATGTATCAGTGAACTGCATCTAAGTTTTATGGCAATGTAGTATCCATTATTATTTCCATATGGAGAGGATGGATATCACACTGACATAATGCATAGAGAAATAGAAAGTCAAAATTCAAAAAGAAAGAAACTTACCCAATGACAATAGCATGTTTTTCGACTACAATTTCGAGAAAATGAAGGGCATACTCTAATTGGTAGTGGTCGTTTAACCCAGCAATAATTGGTTGATTGTTTCACGAGCATGCAAGCAGAAAGATTTAGTTGGGTCATAAAAAATTAACCAAAGTTACGATGTGACATCCTGCAAGGATTGAAAGATGCAATATTGAAAAGAGACACAAGACCTTTTTTTATTGGGAAAAGGATCATTTTGCCATCATCTGTCATTGAAAGTCTAAGGTATATGGTGCAAAATTATCAAGATTTAATGGCAATATGTAGATGGGCAGGTCTTTCAAATTTATTCTTAATTTTCACATTTAACCCCAAATGGCCTGAGATTAAAGAATTCTTGAAGTTAATCCCTGGACAAAAACCTAAAGATAGGCCTAATGTGGTCACTAGAGTGTTTAAAATTAAGTTAGACCAGTTAATTAAAGATTTGAGAAAAAGAAAACATTTTGGACGAGTTAGAGCAAGTTAGCAAAATTTATCTTTAAACTATTTTATTTATTCAGTTTTTTTAAATAATAATGACTAAAATTTACAAATATCTTAGTGCAATAGTATACACCATTGAATTTTAAAAAAGAGGTCTACCACATGTTTACATTGCATCTTTCTCATTTCGAATGGTAAGTTAACAGATGTATCATTAGTAGATCGTTTGATATCTACAAAGCTTCTCAATCAGCAAGTAGATCCTATTGTTTACAACGCAAGTGTTCAATTAATGATGCATGGTCCATATGAAAATGCAAACACGACATTTCCATGCATGATAAATGAAACGTGTTCTAAGCATTACCTAAAATAATTTCAATCTCAAACAACTATTAATGAATATGGATTTCCTATCTATAGACGAAAAAATGATAACAAGACTGCAACTATAAGTGCTATTGAATTATATAATACATGGGTTGTTCCTCATAATGTCGATTTGATTGTAAAATATGATTCTCACATTAATGTTTAGTTATGTAACCAGTCTAGATGTATTAAATATTTGTTTAAGTACATGTGTAAAGGAAAAGATAAAACAACATGTTTGATTTAAGATAATGCATCAATCAACAAGAAAATTGGTAGAGAAATTATCACTGAAGTTGATGAGATCAAAAAATACTTAGATTATCATTATGTATCGACTTTCGAAACATGTTGGAGAATATTTCAATTTGATATACAACATTATGAGCCAGCTGTAGAACGATTAACATTCCATCTACCACATGAAAAAAATATCATTTTTCATGATGATGAAGATTTACATGACATTTTAAGTAGGCCAAATGTAAATAATACAATGTTCACATAATGGATGTGAACAAATGAGTTGTATAAGGATGTAAAAAATTTAACCTATGTTAATTTTTCAACAAAATGGGTTTGGTGCAAAAGTAAGAAAGAACGAAAATTTAGAATGAGAGAAAGGTCTGTTGGCAGATTATTTTATGCTCATCCATCTTCTGGGGAAAGATATTTTCTAAAGATACTTCTCAATATCATAAAAGGCATTAGATCCTTTGAAGATATAAGGATAGTTGATAAGATTGTTAATCCGACTTATAAAGATGCTTTTAGAGCATTCGAATTGTTTGAAGACGATTATGAGTGGCATGAAACATTATGTGAAGCATCTCTATGGGCTACCGGACATCAACTACATGATCTATTTGTTACCATTCTTTTGTTTTGTGAAGTTACAGAATCGAATGAGTTATGGAACAAGAATTAGGAGATGCTCTCTGAGAATATTTTATATCAATAAAAAATGGCATATAGACGACCAAACTTAAATTTGACTCTTGAGCAATTGCAGAACTATACTTTGTTTGAGATTGAGAAGATAATAAAATAAAATGAAAGATCATTAAAGGAGTTTAAAACTATTCCTTACCCTAATTTTGTGTCAGTCGTTTATGAACACAATTTTTTAGTTTTGGAAGAAATGAGTTATGATAAAGATGCATTATTATGAGATCATAATAACCTATATGATAAACTCAATAGTGAAAAAAAACTGTATATGATGCTGCTATCCGTTCTGTGGACAATGTTAGTGGTGAAATTTTTTTTTGTATATAGAAGTGGAGGTACTGGAAAAATATTTTTGTGGAGAACAATTATTTCTAAAATTCGATCTCAAGGTAATATTGTTATTGCAGTTGCATATTTAGGTATTGCTGCTTTATTATTGCCATAGGGGAGAACAACACATTCTAGTTTTAAAATTCCTATAAAGTTAGACAAAAACTTATTTGTGATGTTAAGCAAGGCAGTCCATTTACTGATTTACTTAGTAGGGCAACTTTGATCATATGGGATGAAGCTTTAATGACATACAGATATGCATTTGAAGCTGTTGATCGTATGTTACAAGATATTATGCATTCCAAAGATCCCAATTCTAAAAAAACTATGATATTAGGAGGTGATTTTAGGTAAATATTGCCAATGGTTCCTCGAGGTAGCATAAAGAAGATTATAGCTGTTACAATTTTTAGATCTGAAATTTGGGAATATTGTCAAATATTTACTTTTTCTATTAATATGGGATTGAGAAATCAATCATGCAGCTTAATATTAGACTTTAGCCAATGGTTATTAAACTTAGGTGATGGCAAGTTGCCTTTAGCTGAACCAAGTGAAAATGTAGATTCAACATGGATTAATATTCCGGATGAGTTTTTAATTTCGCATGAAAATGATTCAATAAGGCAAATTGATTGTACATATCCTAATTTGGAAAATACATTTAATAATCTGTCTTATTTAAAGGATCGAGCTATATTAGCACTGACGAATGAAGTAGTTGATCAAGTCAATATTTATATACTTTTCAAGCTTTCTGGTGAAGTAAAAAAATATCTCAATGCTGATAGGATTTCACCTACCTCAGCTAATGTTGAAGAACAATCAATTTTATATCCTCAAGAATTCTTGAATTCACTTAAGTTTCTCACACTACCTAATCATGAAATTGATTCGAAAGTTAGGGTTTCCTATTATTCTTTTGCGCAACATAAATCAAAGTGTTGGTCTTTGCAATGGTACTAAATTGGTTGTCACAAAATTGGGCTCTAAGGTAATTGAAGCTGAGACAATAACTGAGACTAATGTGGGGAGTCGATTGTTCATCCCCCGAGTGGAAATGTCCCTTTCAGAATCAAAATGGCCGTTCACTCTAACACGAAGATAGTTCCTAATCAAAGTTTGTTTTGCAATGACTATAAACAAGAGTCAAGGACAAACATTTGAAAATGTCGATGTGTATTTGCCAAAATTGGTTTTCACTCATGGCCAATTATATGTAGCTACTTCCAGAGTAACATCACCAGAGGGATTAAAATTTTTAATTGAAAATAATGATCATGATATTCATTTGTGTACAAATAATATTGCATACACTAAGGTGTTTGATGATGTTTTCCAAAGTTGACACACATGATTTAATATTTAATTGTTTAATGTATACATATATTTACAAATTTTATGCATTTTTATTCTAATTATATTTAATATTTAATTATTCAAAATTTTCATTCTTTTCTTATAGGGCATGATGTAAGGTTACCAATACTTATGACAGATTTCAACAATTGGAGACCAATGAAAGGTTAAAGTAAGAATCACTAGAATGTGGGATGCTGTGAATTTTAATAAAAATGAAAAAGTTATAGGTTTGGGAATGATTCTGTTGGATGAAATTGTGAGAGCTTTTATTTTCATTAATTTGTACATAATAAGCTATTCATTTTATGTATCTCTAATAAAATTATTCGATAAACGTTTTCTTTTTTTTTTTTACAGGATGATCACATTCATGCAATGGCATTCAAAAATTTGGCATACAAGTATCGTACACTACTGATGGAAGGAAATGTTTACATGATTTAAAATTTCAAAGTTTGCAATGTGTCTAGCTCATATCGAACTGTGAAAAATGATTTGATGGTTTACTTCAAACCTAATACATTTGTCAAGATTCTTAATGGTTTGAATAGTTCACTTAAGTTGCATAAATTTGAGTTTTTGGAGTTTGATGCTATTCAATCACATTATCATGATAAAACATATCTGACAGGCCCATTGACTTCACCTTTATATAATTCTTTTTAATTTTGCATTTTATATTAATTTGACTAATTATGCTTTGAAACTATTTGATTCTTAAATATATTATTGGAAAATTGAGCAAGATAAGTTCAATCGTGAATCGAGATGTTTGAGGTGAAAAAGTAAATAAAAGGGTATTAGAAATAAAAAAAATGCAAGGTATGCATTGAGAAATACTTAATTAGATAATGCATATTTGAAATTAATTGTTTAACTAACTATTTTGATTTTTTTCTCGTAGTGGGAACTCAATGGAAATTACTCTTTGGGGTGGAGTTGCATATCAACTTGACGATAGTATTTTAGTAAGCAATAATGAAACTGTCATATTAGTTGTGACATCCACTATTGTCGAACAATTTAAAGGTAAGTAAAAAAAAAAACTATATTTTAATTAATTTAGTTTTAATCCCAATTATTTGAACAATGTTTCATATATTGAATATTTAATTTAGGTAAATACATTTTATCATCTACATCTACAACAAAGGTATACAAGAACTTGGATATACCTGAAGCTGGTATAATTCTAAATAGGTTCTTACATATTTATCAATAGTAGATATAAAGTTACTTAAAAAAAATATTAAAGCATAAAAAGGATATAATGCATTTTACAAAATATATATTTATAATTTTCGATGCAAATACAGTCAAATTGTTAGTGATTTTCAAGTCTAATAGTATCTGATGCTAATAAAAGAAGTTGTATCTTCCAAAGAAATATTATTTGCAAATAGGAAATCGATAGCTGATATTTATCATGTTATGAATAACAATTCATACAAGGTAAGAACTATAGACTTTACTTAAATATATTTCAATTTAAATATATATTGTATTATAATTAAGAAAAATACTTCTTAATTTTACTACCAACAGGAGAAAATGTTCACCTATCGAGGTACTATAATGCAAATCAACACGAGGTATGAATGGTATTATTTGTCATGTGCAATGCATAGAAAAAAGGTGTTAGAAGTTGACTGAGGTTATGCTTGCAACGATTGTGTACATCAAACCCAACTTTCAGTTGTAAGGTATCGTAAAATTTCATCATCATTATATGTCAATTTAAGTAAAATTTATTGAGATATTTTAAAATAAGTAACTTTTAAAACATAATCATTTGGATATTTACTTTTTTTTTATTTTTTCAATTAAAAGTAAGTTTAATTATTATTAATATTCCATAATAGGTACAAGTTAATTGTCAATGTATCAGACAAGCTTGGCAATGCACCATTTGTCTTTTTGATGGGAAAGCTAATCGAATTCTAAAGTATATAGCTGAATAATTATTTCAAATGAAAAATTAGGTTATATCATATTCAAAATAATTTTCTAAATTTGTATGAATATCAATGTTATTTAATTAAATTTGTATAAAACTTATTCACAAGAAAATGGAGATGCCAAAGTGGAAAAAATATTGGAAGAGTTGATAGTTCGTTCATATATTTTTAAAGTAGAACTCAATGATTACAATTTTTTTCATGAAAGTTCAAGATTGACTGTTACACATGTTCATGAAATACTTTATGTAGAGGAAAGTCAGTATTTACTTGAAAAAATACAAAAAATAAGTAGTTTAATACATTTCATTAAAATTTTTTGCCAATAATTTTCTTATATAATTGTTTATAATTTAATACTATTATTTAAATTTTAAAATTATTTTATTTCAATTTTTACAAGAACATAATTTCATATCAAATATCAACCTCAAAGCAATTGAAAGGGACAGATATGAAAAGCCATATAGATGCTGAAGATTATGATATTATTGAAACTCTTACAAAAAAATATGTACACAAAAATAAGATATCATGTATATCATTTAAATATTTAAAATCATTATTTCTCCTAAATAAATAAAACTTGTCTTAAAATTACATAAATTTACAAGTGTACAAAAATGATAAAAAAAGTTGCAAATTGAATAAAATTCATTTGAAGTGATAAAACTTTTAGCTTCTATTTTAATATTTTGTTGGCATAATTAATAATATTTTATACAATATCTTTTGGATATTTTTTCTTCCTCCAATATTATTTATTATATATTTAAAGTTTAATAATTTGTTAAGTAAAATTTTTATTTTTATTATGATTTAATATTTTAATTATAATATTTATATTATATATATTTTTTGAATATGTTAATAATTTAATAATATTAATTTACATTTTTATTTAAATTTAAATAAAATAAGCGGATAGCAAACTAGTAAAACAGAATAAAACAAGATCAGTTTCCCTTGAACTTCACAACAAACAAAATCATTTCAATTAAAAAAAAAAAAAAACCACATGAAAATAAAATCCAAATCCATAGCTTTGTCTATCACAAGAGAGTAATAGTTCTATCTTATGCAAACATATATAATCATAAGTAAAATAAACAGATTCAAGCAAATCAACTCTGGGAGAGCAGTGGCTCTGATTCAGGCTTCTCTTCACCAAACACCTTGGCAATCTTCTCTGAAGGAACCAATGGCATATATGAAGCAACCTTGTACCCTTTCTCTGCACTGCTAACCACTGTCTGGTTATACTTTTCGCTGCAATAAGCAGCAGCGGGAACAACCACTGAAGCTACATGAGGGAAGAGAGGAAGTTGGTTGAGTTTACGCCAAGCTGAAACAGCACATTGTTCAGCTCTCGGCTCATATTTTGCACAAAGCCCTTTTGCTGTGGGTTCATACTTGGTGTACACAGATTTTGCATATCCTGAGGCAGTGCTCACAACCCCAGCACGATGAACCTCAGAAGCCACATCCCGAGCCACCGCTGGAGCCTTCTGGGCGGCCGAGATGGCTTCGGATGAGACCTGCTTGATCACTGGAGGGACACGACGATCAACCTTGGTCACAGATTCATCAACCTGGAATAGAAAACAAAGAAGAATTTCTTTAACAAATCTTTGGGTACTATCTTTTTTTGTCAATCAAACATTTGAACTAACAATTTCTGCAATTTCGATTAAAACCATGGTTTTGCAACTCAACCCAAAATTTATACTTTGATTAAAGGTTTTGAAAGAATAAATTTTTAATGGCATTTTGCATATCACAACAATCCCACATGACCACATCACAGAATCTCAAAACTAAGTTATTGAGTCTGATTTTACTTATTGCCCTTTGCTAGTCAAAAACCAACTTTAATGAAACAGAGACATTACCTTGCGATCGACAAACTTGAGAAGCTCAACGGGGACATCATGGTACTTATCATAAACCGGTCGGACCACACTCTTAACCGTTCCCTCGACGGTCTCGACACCGCACTTCAACGGTCCCGACCTTTCCTTAGCGTAAACGTAGACGTTGGATAAGCACAAAACCGCATGGACAGCCGCTACTTGCACGAATTCCAAGTATTTCAGCCTCTGTTCTTCCTCTTTAGCCTTTCAAATTCCAATCAACATAAAATTAAAAACAACAAAATTGATTACCCAACAAAAAAAAAAATCGAAAAAGAACGAAATTTTTAATGAAAAATACCATGTCTTGCTCGAAGCTCGAGTCTCCCTGAGCCATAACAGAAACCGCTGTGAACTGAAGAAATCGGAGAAAGCAAGGAATGAAAGGGTACGATTGTCTTTTGTTGTGGCGTTGAATTGTGAGAGAAAGAGAACAAAGGAGGTTGATTTTTATAGGGTTGGAATAGTTAGCGGTAGCGATTACGAACCGGTGACGAAACGTGTCGGTTAAAGCATTTATGTGCGTTTGAGAGAGCGGTCAACGCGGTGGCGTTGAGTGCTTAGTGGCTAAGTTAAGGTACCGTACCATGCGAAGGAACTAGGAAGTGAGAAATGACGTCAACTAACCAAGACCAAGGATCCTGTTTCCACCAAGGCTTAGAGTTCTAGTCTTCCACAAAGCAGACATGGTTTGCTAGATTTGACACAGACTATGTAAGCCTTTTGAAAATTTGGGTGTAGAAGCTAGTACTGTGGATCTCGAATCAATTTTAATCCCCCGTTCTTGTTAATAGAAGTGGCCCAACAGATTGAATTGGGCCTAAAAACTAAAAAAAAAGCCTAATTTTTTCAAATCGAGTAACCCATGTAGGTGTCATACTTTGAGGTACTATCCGTTCATTAAATCTCATAATTTTATTTTATAAAAATTAATTCATAAATTAAAAAAATTTTAAATATTTGAATTTCGAATCCAATTCTAATACATAATTAATGTAAAATTCAGTACTTATTTTTAAAATCTTGATGGTACATCATTAATACCTCTAGAATTAATTTTCATGTCAAATGTCATAATTCATATCAATTTGTAAGATATTATTTATTTTGATCCATCAGACCTCACAATTTTATTTTACAAAAAATAATTCTAAAGTTTTAGGTGGTGTAAATATTTAAAATTTGAAACTAACTCTAGTATAAGTTTACAAACTGTCCAAATCTCAGCTTCAGTTCATATCAATTTTGAAACTAGCTTGCAGAAGCATTACAATATATCCCAAAAATTTCCAATTTGGTATCATGTTTTGGATATGAATGTTAGTACAAGATAAATCAGAATTTTCTCAGCTTTTTCATCTCCTTGGTGGTTGTTTATACACAATCTGATGGGATTTAAAGGCCCAGCAAGAGCTATTATACGTCCAAGCTTCTGCCAGTTTTAAGTTTGATATCTGGCATGGCCAACCACCAGATATAAATAACACCCAGTATGTTATTAAGCCCTTAGGATGCTCAAAATTTGAAATTTGTTATCATTTAATCCTGAATTCATAGCTTTACGCTACATTTTAGCCACAATATTCAATCAGAGATCAATGTTTTTCCTTTGAGATTGTAAGCTTCAACATATATATATATATATATAAGAGCTTTACTTGCATTGTTATTGCAATAACTGTTTGGAAAGTGAAAGCAAATAGCAAACAGAGATTCAAAGCTGTCAACCAAGGAAAAGAAAAAAGATTGAACAACAGTGTAAAAGCAGGAGAGAGGGACCCCTTTTTGGCATAATTTTGGGTTTGGTCCAAAGGGGACCCATTGAAATTGGCTTTGATTTGATTCAGGGAATATGTTAGGCTGTGATGGACCCATCATTATTCGTTTCACCACCCATCCTTACAAAACATGCCATTGCCATCTAAACAATTCACAATTGTTAAAATTACTTTTTTTCAAAAGAAAAAGTAAAAAGAAGGAACCTCTTCATTTTGTTTTTGAATTATTCAATAATATTCATCATTGATAATTTTAAATATGATATAATAATATAATATAAATAATATAAATAAACATGATATAATGATACAATAAAAAATATAAATATGATTTAAAATTTTATAAAAAATTATAAATAAATTTAATAAAATCAAAAAAAAATATTTTATATTTTTATATCGTCGTAATTTTCATATAAAATAAAATATATGTACACAAATTAGCAATATTAGCCTGGTCTACTTCACGTGAAGGAGTTTCAATTCAATGTACCATGCACTTGGGTTATAAAAATATAACCTTTCGGTTATATTATACTTGTAAAATACAAAACCAATTATTATCCAAGGTGTGGATGATAACAAATAATCCAAAGCTTGATGAGAAATTAAACTGGAAAAAAAACATAATCATTGAAACAAAAATGACTCAAATGGTTACTTTCTTGTCACTCCATTCAAAATTTGTTACCCCAAATAGAAAATCATTTTCAGCTAATCCCTTTCCAACTTTCATATGTCCTATCAAAAACTTTCTTGATGCAAAGATCTTTCTTTTTCTAGCCATGAACTGAAGTTTGCTGTAAAATCACCCATAACACCAAAAATACGGGGAAAATATAATAATCTTTTACAGAAACATTAAAAACAAAATAAATTTATAACAACAATATTTTCAACAATAACATGAAAAACCCATCACCACCCACCAATCTCTCCATAACTCATCGTTTCTTTCTTTTTTCATGTATAACAATCAAACCCATTCCCCCAAAAGACAGTGAAAAAATGGGAATCGTAGAAAGAAATTAAAATAAAAAAGGAAAAACCTCAGCTCCTGCACCTTGTAATTTGGCTGCAGCCACGGCTATAAGGGTTAGCCTGAGCTCCAGGCTGGCAATTGTAATAGGAAGCACCACGTCGGGAACAGGGGACGGTGTTCCTCTGAAGCGCACCGTAGCTGATGTACCTGGTGGTTTGTAAAATACGCCGGCTGATCTCCGATTCCAGCTCGAACTCTTCCCCTTCTAAGCACTCAGCTATGGAACCCTTGCATGGCGATCTGGTGGTGGGTATCCAACCGAGGATTGGCTGCTGGTGGTGGCCCCCACTCGCATCAACGGCCATTACCACCATCGCCATGATCATGGCACAGATCACAACAAGCTTACAATTGAGTACAGCCATTGCAACTTCAGAAACTCCCCACTCTTTGCTCTCTGATTTCTGGGCTTTCCTTTCTTTGGCTTTAAATTTTCTTGCTTTCTTACTTCTGCTGTAGCTGTTTTCTCTTGCCCTTGGTGGCTTTGTTTTCAATTTTCTTTCTGTTTTTGAGTTTTTAAAACACAAGGGGGAGAGAGTCGGTAGGCACTGATTATAAGTAATTTGGTAAGTTTAAATGACACCGACTTGGCTGTTTATTACAGACATGCCATTAGTGTGTCGTTTTGGATGAAATTTGTAATGTGCTTTTACTATATTAACCAATACCCACCCCCTTTAGACTTTGGCAATTGAAAGATAAAGAAATGGTTCATTTATATTTTATATTACCAGAAATTTGACTAAACTTTTATTTTAGGTATTGCATTGGTAAAAGGATGATGAAAAATGAGAATTGACTAAGGGATAGTGGCATATTTTGTGAAAGATTTAAGCCTAAACAATGGTTCTATTGCTCATTTTTTAGGTTTAATTTTTATGAATTTAAACTTTAATTAATTCATATAATTATTTTTTAAAATAACATTTAATAATTTTAAATTTTAAATTTTAATACCCATAATTATTTTTTTGTTTACAAATTATACTTTTTATAAAAAAATAAATATCTAATAATTACTTGCATATTTTATTAGGATATTTTTATTGCTAGTAAATTTATGTTTTGTATTTTTACCATAAATCTAGCATAATAATACCTCAAACAAAGCTAAGCTCAAATTAAAAATTCATATTCAAAACTTGATTAAATTAAGTCATGTCCACAAACTTAACAATAACTCAATTGTCAACCTTAATAATTTATACATATAATTTGTTGCTATTTTAAATTTTCAATTTTATACCCAACACACACACACACATATATATATATATATATATCAGCTCAAAAATACTTGTTTTAAAGAAATTCTTCTGAACTTGAAAGTGATAGCTAAGCTGCTTAGGCCAGCCACATTTGTTAAACAAAAAAAATTCCATGCTAATCACGCCGATTGTGAAAGCATAATAACATTGACTTCAAAAAGATGGCAATGATTAAAAGCATGGCAACTTGGATATTAAAGTGAAAACATTGGGCAAAACCACAAGCCCAATCCTTTGGCTGACTGGTTGTCCCTCTCATTTACACATTAGGGTTTTGGTACAAAGAAGATGAAAGAAGAAAACAAAATTAAAGATTAAAAGAAAAAATTAAAAAAAAAAAGGAAGGACAGCATCTAGGGTTTAGGTTATCATGCATCCTTCCATCTCCAAAGTTCATCCAAGAATCTGTCAACCGAAACACCTTCTCTTTCCTAATCCTCACCTCATTGCTGTTACCGTTTACTAATAATCAGCCATTTGTTCCTTTTTATTACTAATTTTTAATAATAAAAAATAATCTCAATTTGCGCACTTTTCTTACCTTACAAATTTTATAGCGCCAATCTTGACTATATCATTAGATTAGGCTTAATAATTTAAAATATGATACAATACTATAATAATAAAATAATATAAATAAAAATATAAAAATAATATAATTAAAATTTTAATAAAAATTATAAATAAATTTAATAAAATAAAAATATATATTTTATATTTTTATATCAACATAAATTATAACATATAATTTTTATATAAAATATAATATAAATACATAAATTATTAATATTTTATATGATACAAATACATAAATTATCAAATATATATTAGACGATTGCTTTTGAGATACTATTGAATGTGGAGACTTAACAACCTTTTTACACTATGCAGCACATGATTGCATTACATCGTTTTATAAGTGAACCTCCAAAACTTTAGTTATAAAATGATATCCCTAAGTGGTGTGAAGGAAAGAGATCTAAAGGGGATAAAACACACAATCCAACCATCCAAATAAGGCTTGAGAAAGGAAAGATAAATAAATAAAAATCAAACGTGAAACCCACTTACATGTGATAAACCAATTATGTTGAACAATTCAAATATATGAAACATTTGGTAAAATAATAATAATAACAAAATCATTCATGTGTTAAACATGTAAAAGATAATTTGACTATGCAATTATGTCTGAACTGTTAAAAAATGTACATTTCAAACTGATTTTCTCTATCAAGTTATAAAAACAACTTTTAGCTAATAAAAAGTAAACTGAAGCTTGAACATTCTATCAATAATCAAACAATTGTGATATATGTTAATAATCTATTTTTATTTTCTTTAGATAAATATCTGTAATTTATTTTTCATTTAAAATTATCAAAATTAAATTTTAATTATTAAAATTAAAAATTCAACATTCTCTTAATAAATCAAACCATTTTGATATAAATTTTATATCTATTAAAGTGATATTTATAAAATTCTTTTTTAAATTTAATAAAAAAATATTTTTTAGTAAAAACTTAACGTGGCTGCCACTCAGCAGAAAATGAGAAATAGTACGAGCTTTTAATCTCCTACGCGCCAAAGGCCCGAGACTACAATTCAAACAATCGAACAAATAACGGCTACAAAATTTTACATTTTTTTATTTTTTTTATCTGAAAGCGACAAAATATTCAGCAGAAAAAAGAAAAGTAAAGTAAATAATTAGAAAAGTCGTTAGCGCCGACGTAAACAGCAGGTAGACGTTAAAAACGTGGGGCCCAACACAGATCATCAAGACGGTGTTTACGCGTCCCAAAATCAAACTCTCTTTAAGCCAGCTGGCTCTTAACGATTTTTTCTATATAAAAATAAAATCCATTTTTTCTTTTTTTCTTTTTCAAGTTGAATCGAATGGTATATTTTCTAGTTTTTAATTAAAAACTATTTTATTAAAAAAAAACAACATTTTCCCTTTTTTACTCTGTTCCCTCAGAAATAAGGTATCTTCTTATCTAAAGTCTTATCATTTACTCATCTTAATTGTGATTAAGATGGAATTAAGACGATGATGAAGAGATGACGAAGAGAGACAGATACAACCAATTGAAAGAAATACCATTAACTTTCCGACTCAACAAACAGCCCCATATAGTAATAATTTTAGTTGTCCTAACCTTTTGACCTTGTAGATTTTTCTCCCCAAACATACTTGAATCCTTGAAAATTTTTTAGAATAAAATGAATCCAGACGTTGAAGAACAGCACCTGCTGTCACAAAGGAACATAAAATTTCTCAGTATCTGAATTCTGTACTCTAAAATCTTCAAAAAAAAAAAAAACCAAGAAATCAGTAAATATATTTGAATCAGTGATAAGACTCCATGACATCCTGGCATGTAAGCATTGTTCAGGGATCATGCTTTCAACCATGAATAATTGTATCCAGAAATCCTGTAATGGCTTGGTCAGCCATGAACAAAACTACCGGACCCCATCTATAGATCATCTCCAAGATTCTGGAATCAACATCCAGAAACCCCCCAAATCCTCAATCCCATGTTTAAAATTTTGTCCGAATCTTGGATGAATAATATCTGCTTGAAGTCGAAGCCCGACCAAGTGTTAATCTATGCCACAATAAAATGTAGCAGCTAAAACTAGAGCGATTTCAGAACATCAAATCTATTACAAGGCATTTACAAAGCTTAACAACCATTTTAAATTGCTAACCTCATTCTGGAGAAACCTAGAAAGGTGGTTTGTTGGATGTGATAAAGGCATCCAAGTAAAAAGAGAACAATTAGGCATATGACACAGCTCATTAAATCTCCCCCTTCCCCTTAAATGTGAGGTTAGGCATTATATTCCAGTTCCACAGGACACTGCAAAAAATTGACGATTCTTCCCTGAAATGGATTTACAGTGAACCCTCAATGGTCTAATGTTCTTCCCAGCTAAACACTAGGTGGTTGTTGGCCTAACACGATGAGCAAAACCAAAACCGTTCTTAGCTCAGGAGACTCTATCAGAAGGGCCTCAACTCATTATGGGAGAATATCCACCAAAGTCAAGAACTGAGACTTGCATCACATGTATAACAAGCAACTATCAGCTATAATTATTGCAAAACTGTAATAGATAACAACCCATGTCCATTCTAGAATCACTCACCAAACCTATATTCCTGATATATAACTTGGGGAGTAAGCATCAGTTTACTTCATTTGTTCTTTAGGATGTAGTACATGACATCCAAAAATCTCCATTTTTGTGAAAAAGCTATAACTCTGATTAGACAAGACCACATCAACTGAAACTTACATGCTAATAGGAACATTGGGTCCAATGTAACATTGTTAGGTGGGTAGAACCAAATGGAAGACCACATTAACTGAAATTCAGATAACACGATTTGTTGTTTAGTTTGCTTTTCTAAAGAAAACTGTGCATAGAATTTCCCTATTCCCTAGCAAAAACACTTTGAAAATTCCTTCATGAAAATCTGAAGTTGGGTCTAGCAGATAGAATTAAATTCTACACCAAGTATGAGGGACAAGTTCATAAGCTACTGCACATGAACTGCAATATTAATGAATGTTCTAAGCACCGTAAAATAGATATTGGCATTCAGAGTCTGTTCTATAAAAGCATGGTTTCAATACTCACTTAAGTATTGAAAAATCATAACTAAGACACTAGAAAAGGAATTTTAATCTTAAAAAGATAAAACCAACCTGGGCAATAAACATGATACAGATTTTTTGACACAGTTAAAAATTTTATGCTCTTGCTCATGATCTTTTGATGCACTTATTGCTACCATAAAGTCTAACAAACCTAAGGAATCTACATCACAACTGTAAGTAGTTTAGAATCTTGTTGCAGCACAATGTTTGACTTTCAAACATGCTTTATACGAGTATGAAGCTTGTAATTGATTTCACTCCAGCAAACATATATTACAATAATAAATATTACAATGAATATATTTCTAATAATTGATTTTGACGCATATCAAATTATAGGTCCTTCTATGCAAACATAAGAACAATTATAGCAAAAGAAAAGCTACTCAAATTGGTTGAAGGATAAAAAACTAAATGAGAACGGAGGATATGACTATAATAGAGACATGCACTTACACCAAAGAAAACAGCAACCTAGCATTAAGATGAAGAGACCTGCCATTAACTGATTATTACTGTTCTTCATAATATGGTGGTGTTGACTGAACACATATTTCGTTCTCATCCCCATCATCATCATCCTCATCTGCATCTACCCAGTTACTTGGATGATGTTGTGATAACACATGCCCATCAATCTGGTTCCTATCTGAGCAAAACACAGAGGGAAAAAGAAAAATCATTTACTGCAGAAGTGATTATAACATTACAAGCAGTAACTATCTAGTTTTGTGATTAACCTTGCACCCCGGCAACTTGGTCTTTTTCTACTTGGTGTCGGCTACGATAGATGGTTAAGAAAACAATCAAAACCAATGAAGTAATAGTGCTAGCATGCTAGTACAAAAATCCTACAGCATGATTTATAAGAACAGGGAAAACAATTAAAGTTCAGTGTTAAAGACTTCCGGGAGGATTAAAATAAAATTGCTTCTGATGTGTTTACCATAATTATGATTCACTTAAGTATGTATAATGACTGCTAAAAATTGAGATTTTATACTGTCTGTTAGCTAAAGCAAATGAAAAATGCAGGAATTGTGAATGCATGATTGTAGACTGACATTAACAGCAATGCACATGCGAAGTGCACATACATAGAGAAGAAAAGAGGAGATGACCAATAAAAGGCTGAAAACTTAATGATTAGACTTGAATAAGGGCATAGAAAATATAACAGCAATATTCAGGATACATAGTAGGAGCAGCAGGAACACTTTCTTTAATGGTTGCATCTTTTGTAATCTGCATCATGCTAACCCTTTGAATATCCCTCTGTTCACTAGCATTCAAGTTCTGCTGTCCTAGAACCTGCCTTTCTTCAACCCCATTACTGCTCTTTGCTGCACTTCCTGAGAACAATCGTAATGCATGAGTTTGGATGAACATAGCATCAAAATCATGTAGCGAATAATTACCTGAGAGGTCAGACCATATTCTGGTATGGTCAGATGGGTGCTCAGATACATTTGCCCTAAACCTCTCTTGTTGTGCTTGAGACCTTGTCCCATTCATTGCCTGGTCACGTACTGTTGTAGCTGCCTGTGCAGGTTCAGAGGGATTGCCTTCATGTAGCTGTGAGATAAGCATGGTTGCAAGGACAAGTGTAGAATCAAAGTTTGAACCAGATCCATCATCCAGGCCAAATTTTGGTGCCAATAAGATTGGCCTGTTCCCAAATAAACATCTTGTCAAGATCAAACACACATTTTGACTAATGTGATAATAGAATTTAGCAAGTGGGAAAGACAGTCAAAAGCAATCGTTTATTAGCATATTTGTGGACTTTGCATTGTCCCACCCTAACAATTAATAAACTGATCACATGTTTCGTACTCTTTTTTGGGTTAAATAAAGTTTCATAAACTTCCAAAATCCTAACAATAGTTCATTTGTGATTCAGATAGCTACCAAATGATTGATAAAAGAAACAGAATTAATGTAACAAAAACAAATGACACAAACTTGTCATGAGATACTCCGAATAGCAAATGTTTGGATGTGGTCACTTGATGACATGAGTTACATTTCAAAACAAGTTGTTCTATGCGTTGCCATCAAAACAGATTTATGATGTTCCAGAAATGTATGAAGAACTAAAGTCACTAGAAGAATATCTTACTCGCCCGCTTTGTCAAGAAACAAGTGTATGTCAACCTCGCAGCCTTCACAAAAAGTAAGGAATGCCTGCATTCAGTTTTTCAGGTAATATAATGTTAAAGTGCTTATAAACAAGTCATGTTTACCTCAAACATCAATAGAAGAATAATGATTAGCATTTTTAAGTTGGATTTATGAACCAAAGAAAATCAAGTCGCTGCAAAATCTACTTTCTGGTCTAGATTAGATACCTTCAATTCCTTCACACTAAAAGTAACGTCTACAGGATCTCCAGTGTGACTATACTGCACAAACTCTTCCATAGGATCAATCCAGAGTTGAGTGTGCAACGATGAATCATTGTCTGCATTAAAAACGAAAGAATAAATTCCTTTTCAGGTGATATAGCAAAAATCAATATTGTTGTATACCTTTTGTTGGGTCTATATAACTTCTAAGCTCAACAGCTTTTCCGCCTATTTCACTTGCAGCATCAGAAGGTAAGGATGTTGGCTCTGTTGCAATGATGGTAATTTCCTGAAGTGATGATTGAAAATTAGCTAGCAATCTGTTTAGATCACGAGGCCTCACTACCAAGTTACTTGGAAATCTTCTCCTATCAAGAGACAAATGTTGTATGTCGGGTTCAACATTGCAGGTAATCCAATATGCTTTTTTCATACCTGCCAAGCATAAATAAAGAAACTGTTCAAACCCATAATAAATCCATTTATGTCCAACATAAGAAAAACGTTTGAGAAGGAATCTGTCCATGGGGCAGTTTCTAAGTACTCTATTCATAAATGCCACATCAAGCAATAAACTAGATTTTCAAATCCTTCCAAAATAAGTCCAACTTCAAATATTAATTTTGGCTTTTGTGGCTGGATTAGTAAGCATAAAATTAAACTTGTATAAGCAAAGGTACATGTAAAACACAAAAAATTGATTGCATTCCAATGCTAACGCTAACTGCAGAACACAGTAATATATGCCATACTCAAATTGCAGCAAATTGAATAGATTATTAACAAACATGAAAAACCCTTCTACTTCCCATATTTAAAGTAGGATGAAAAATGTAGCGGAATATCAAATGTGCACTTTACCACTATAGCATTCCAAAGTCCACTGTATTTTTGACGAATCAGGATCAGCCAATTTCACCGTCAAGTGATCTATACTTGCAATAGGCGTCCTAAGAACAGAACAAACAGCCTAAACACACTAAGTCAATTGAAATGCTACATTTCCACCATCCACTCAACAAATCCTTGTAGAAGCAATGAAAGACAATACCATACCTTCAAAAGCACGCTGCACTGTACTTGAGTACCGGAAATTCTATAGACATCAAAGAAATTCGGCTTAAATGTAATAGACTGGTAGGCCGACCTTGACGAATTGAGTGTATGAAGTGCAAGCTACAAATATTGACGAGTTGATCAGTTACAATTTTGGTCAAAAATAATGATAAAAACCAGAAACATGAAATACTTTAGTATAATATTCTGTTTGATTGCCGATAAAATCTTACAATAAAAATAGATGGAAATGTTTTGAATATTTTCCTTTTTCACTACTTAGCCATACAGCAACCGAAATCAACGCATGATTTCAAACCACTTTTTCTTTTCTTTTTCTTGTATGTTGAGAAAATATGAACCAAACAAAAGCTGAACTGAAGCGTGAAACACTTGATAGCCTTCCATTTTCCTTCACTTTCCCAGTCACCAAACAGTAAATAAATTCCCATTTGTGCCTCTTCAAAACCCTAATTGTGTCCCCACAAAAAAGGTGAAACCTAATTTCAATGCTTAAACTAACTAAACAATCACCTCATTCAAATTACTTGTGAATAAAACAATTGAACTAAAGAGGTTACATTCGGAAATTTGAGAGGTGAAAAATAGGGAAGCGTACCTGAGAAGGAGAAGCTTGGATGACAAGCTCGTTGCCTACACGTGCGAGGCACGTGATCGAACGACCAAAGGTTTTGAGAGCGTTCCCGCTTAGGCTCAGCTCCATCGTTTAGCTCTCTGTTTCTCTGTTTGAAGATTTTGAAAACGCTACTCAAAAACTCAGGTCTAATAAATTTGAGAGCGAATTCTGATTTGCGGTTGGCGGGAAAGGGTGCAGGAAAAAAGAATGAAATCCGATAAATTTTGGTTTAATTTATTTTGAATAATGTATAATATTTTAAATTTTTAAAATTTGATTAAAATTTAAATCAATTATTATTTTTTAAAATCGATTAAATTCAAACAGAATTTTATTAATTTTGTTTGATTGAATCATTAATTTTTAAATTTAAATTTAATATTTTTTATACATTGTTTTAATAAGATTTGTAATATATTTATATAAATTTTGTAAAATAATTATTTTTTATTTTATAAAAATTATTTTTTATATTTTAATTTGAAATTTTATTCAAATTTAATATATATTTAATATTTAAATTTATTTTAAATTAAATAAAAAAATCAATCCAAACTAAATCAAATATTATATTTTTTAATTAATTTTTTAAATTTTCAATTTTTTTCTCATCCTTAAAAAAGCAGTAACATTGCGATTGTGATACTGTTGAATCTCTGCCGTCCAGGTCGGTTTCTTTCGCTCCCTTCCTTGTGCTGTTGACGGTCCTGATTTGATTGTTGCATGAATTGCGCTTCTTTTGTGATGTGAATGTTAAGTTTTTATTCAACCAAAAAAAAAAAAATGGAAGGATAATCTGGAAAGTATCTTTTGGGCTGAGCTGCCTACCAAAGTCAACAAGCCCAACATGCTCTTTAAGTTGTGTTTAGAGTGATTTTTAATCTCAAAATGAGCCTAGTTTTTTTTTTTTTTAATAAATAGTTATACACTAAAAAATTTATTCAAAATAAGTTTAATACTTCCGTTTTTATTCGATTAATTTATTAAAAAAATCTTAAAATTTTATTCATGATTATTTATTTAATATTATAAAGGAAAATAAATCATGGACTGTTTATTAAACCTCTTTTGTTCGTTGATATAGAATAAATCAATTAATTTCTTATGATCATTGGTACGTGTATTTTATTATAATAATTTATGCGTTACATAATATCTTATACGTAATAGTAAAAAAAATCATATAATCTTTTATCATCGACATATTATTTAAAATAAATATATTATTTTTTATTTTAAATTCGAAATTTTTTATACACGTGATTTAGATTAATTTTATTGATGATTATAATTTTAAATGTTACTTGGAATGATCATACTTGATCATGTGATATGAAGTAAATTATATAATATTTTATTATTATACTTATACATGTTATTTAAAATAAATGTATTATTTTTAATTTTAAGTTTATAATATCTTGATTTATATTGGTTTAAACAATTATCATAATATATTTCTTAATTATCTTAAAAAAAATTATTATAAAAGTTACAAAGAGAACAATATATATATATATATAAACATATTAATATGTTAAGATTTATATATCATACTAAAAAATAATATATATGTATATATCAACATATTAAAAATTACATATTTACTTAAAATGGAATTTTTATTAATTTAAGAGTTAATATATAATTTTACCCTTTAACTATACTACTTTTCACGGTTTTGTACATATAAAAAATTTCACTATTTGATACTCAACTTTTATTTTGTTATGTAATTTCTCATAAACATCAATTTCATTAATAATATGTTGATATGATATAAATTAACAAATAAAATATTGACACAATACATATTTTCATTAGCTAATATTTGTCACATGATGGATGTAAAATTAAAATATCAAATCGTAATTGTTTTTAATAAATACCAAATCATAAAAATAATATAATTTATGAATCAATTCACACTTAATCTCTAATTTAATTTCATAATTAATTTATTATTATATTTTATTACATATGATAATTAAACTTTTATAAATTCAAGTGCTTATTATCCAATTAGTATTACTTAAATCCATTGTGCATAACTAATATTCATTAGGGGTAAAAAATTAAAACAATAGAAAATCAATTTAAAATCATATTCTTCAATTAAATTCAGATGGATTTTTATTTTTTTATTCAATTTAAATCAAATTTAAATATTAAATATATACATTAAATTAGGATTGATATATAAAAAATGGAAAAAATTAAATTAAATTAAATAATATATTATTATTAATATATATTTTAAATTTATTTAAAATAAAAAATAATTCATATATAAATATGTTACAAATTATATTAAAGTAATATATATAAAACAAAAAAATATTTAAAAATCAATAAACCAAACTGAATAAATAAAATTCAATTAAATTTAAAAAATATTAATTCAAATTTGAATTAAATTTTACAATTTTATAATATTATACATTATTATAAAAATTAAATTAAATTTAATCCAATTCGAAATTAACTATAATATTTGTACCCAAATCCCGTTAAGGTATCTAATCCAAATAATATGATCAGACAGTGCCGATATCCGTTGCCATCCTCAAATTAGGGTCCCACTCCCACTATAAAATGAGCCCTAAACCGCGATGACGCATTTCTGCAGCCTTGGCTACTCTTTCTCTTCCAGGTACGCCATAGTCTCTCTCTTTGGATTTCGTATTCATGTTTCATAATTTTAAATTTATCTGAATTTCATGTTATTTGGATGTTCTAATAAGCATACGTCTGATTTTTGTTTCCTTAAAATGTTAATATAAATATGTTTGTTAGTGTTTTCCTAAATAGTACTAAAAGTTAAACCATGATTTGGGTTTTCTCCAAAATGTTTGTTAAATTCGTTTTAGTATTTGAATTAGTAACTTATTTACCGGAGAATTGAAGTTGAAATCTACTTAGCTTTTCTTTTTTTTTTTTGGACATGTTCTTTTTATTAGACCTGATTCGTGTGTTCGTGTGCGTAAAATATTAAAATTTGTGTATTCATAGTTTGTTTTACACGAAAATTGCTTGTTATAATTTATGTTAACACAAAAGCATGAAATATATGGTTTTTTGTTTGTTAAACCCATATATAGAGTTATTGCTAAAATTTTAAGCTGTGTCACCGTCGTGTCTTATTTTTGTATGGTGTTCTGTTGTATTTTAGATTGCCAGGTCTGTTTTTGATGAATATAAACTGGTGTTAAATTAGGTGATTTGAGCTTTGTGTTTCTTGTTCGGTTAAGCAATCCGCAAAGATGCAGAACGAAGAGGGTCAAAACATGGATCTTTACATACCCAGGAAATGATATTTAATTTGTTTCACCCAATGTTTCTTAATGGTTGTTTTTTACTATGTTGTTTATGTTGGAAGCTTATATGTAGTTTGTTGTTGTTATTGTTACAGTTCCGCCACTAACAGGCTCATCACCTCAAAGGATCATGCATCTGTCCAAATCAACATCGGACACTTGGATGAGCTCGGCAGATGCACTGGCACATTCTCCACTTTTGCTCTTTGTGGCTTTGTCCGTGCGCAGGTTTGTGTTGGTTCTCTACTGCCCTGCTGGTCTTTTGGGCTGTTGTTAGGTCTATGATTGTTGCTGTTAATTATTATTGATGTTTTATCATTGGATTACATTCATGCCATGCTTACTTTCACATCCCATGTAAAAGTCATAATTCTGCAGCTTGGGTTCGAGTTGGTTCTCTGCTGGCCTGTTGGTTGTTTTGGACTGGTGTTAGGTTTATGCTTGTTGCTGTTAATTATTATTGCTGTGATGTTTTATCATTGGATTGCATTCTAATACTTGCATTCATCCAATGATCACCGTCACATCCTATGTAAAAGTCATAATTCTGCAGCTTACTTTGTTAATGATATGCTTGTGGTTACACTGTCATGTTAACACTCTAAATATTTCGGATATATTTGAAGTGTCAATTCAATTGTGATCCATTTACTCTTAAAGTTCATTTAGAGATAACATTGGTTTTAAGAATATTTCCAATTAAAATTTCATGGCTAAAGCTGGATATGGTAGTGACTAAACTCATATTTAAAGACCTGGAAGAGAATCGGAGACAATAAATCACCTCGTATTTATGGCTGTCAGAAGATTAGTCAAAAAATCCTTCTCAAAGTTTATACAATTTAAATTATTGATGTAATTTTAAGGGTATAATAGGACATGGAAGTTCAATCCAATAGATTAAAAATAATCCTTTCTACTTTGAGAGGATTGAATCATCCTATATCAAGAAGATGATTTAATTTTTCTTATAATCCTATCATTTTCTTTAGATACAAATCAAACATAATATAAAAGGAGTAGCTTTCTATCCCAACCATCATCCTATTCATCAAACATGATCTTAGTTCTTTATTAAGATATTGAGTTTGGTCTAAGTCAGCTGCCCATTGATTTGTTCAACTTTGCAGGGTGATGCTGACAGTGCTCTTGACAGGCTTTGGCAGAAGAAGAAAGCTGAAGTCCGACAGCAGTAGTAGGACATCTTTTATTGCGAGTCTGTCTCTGAACTTGGGTGGGAAAATGTGTTGGCAATGACTATTAAGTTCTAGTTTGTTTTGGTGGTTGGGTTTGAAGTTGTTTTTCTTGAATGGATGATGTTTAGTACTTAGTTTGCTTGCATATGAACCTAATTTTGTGTAACAATTTTTTTCTCTTTGGTTATAAGAGTTTAAATTTTGTTAAATTTCTTCAGAGCCAAATGCTTTAGTAGTTGATTCCTAATGGTATTTTGATGGTTCACAGTGGCTTGGTTCTGAGAGCTTTGAACTACAATAATTTATAGCATCAAAACCTTCTTGTTTTCGTGGTTTTTGAATTGAAAAACTTGCATCTAACAAAGATTTATTAAATCTCTGATTTTGGAGACTACTCAGGCTCGTTGTCATGATTCACAGTAACTTTAGGTGAGATATTGTTTATTTTGATTTTGTTGGGCTTCATGGTTTTTTTTTTTTTTTTTTTTATAAAAGATGTCTCACAAGTTTAAAATAGTATGAATATTTATATCTAAAGATTAAATTTAATACATAGTCGATATGGGATTTATTCTTCTCTATAGGACCATGGCACTCGTGTTGTTTGCTTAACATCACATTAAATCTCAGATTTTGGAGGTTGCTCATTGTAGCCATTTGTGCATTTCACAAGTCCGTATGATAAGAAATAAGATCTCTCATATCTTTATCATGATAAACAGGAAATTCAGGTTCAAGTGTCACCATTCTACCCTATTTTCTTTCTGATAGCCCTGCTCTACCCCATCAAATAGCCCAATAGCGAAGCCTATCCAGAAAAAGTTAGCTTTTGCTTTATTTGACAAGAAATAGTATTTACTAGGAGTAAAGCAAGTTTTGAAAGCATCAGCAATCAATCCTTGTTTTGAGATGGATATCTTTCTCTACAGTATCTTTAATCAGAAAAATATAGTATATAGCACATACATTTATCAATACAACACAATCAGTGTTTTTGGTTCTTCTCCTTGGAGAAAAAGGAGGAATTCAAACCTAATTATACGAATCAATTATTGAATCAAATGCTGGTATGTATAACTTTTGAACTGATGTAAATCAATCATTGTTGGAGTAGGCATGCTTCACTACAAAGTTAATTTCTTTATCATGCTTGACCCACAGAAATGATTCCTTCTGTCTCAGGTATCTGATAACATAGCATATGTACAGTTAATGGTAACTGATCCAATGATAAAGCAAATAATAGTTGAATAGACAAGGTTTTGCCACTGACCTGAACTACCAATCTCAAATAATTAACAAAGTTGATGTTTAAACAATGGAAACTCAACAACCTTTCCCTCCATGAATGCAGTTCAAAGTATATTATTCTTTCAAAGTAACTCTCTGAGATGTTTTGGAGTTCAGAGATCAGACAGTTCCTAGAATCAAAATCTCTGATTCTTGACCCTTTACCTTTATTGAAATTCACTCTAAGGGGTTCAATATTTTATATTGTTTACCATATTGGTTGATATCATGAACTGAACTTGAAATATTAACAAAACAACTAGAGCACGGGCACAGCTTTCATGGAAGAAAAGCAGGGTCAATGTTAACTACCCAATTATACTTTATTTTGAAATATGGGCATGTGGCTCAAAAGAATTAGTTTAAACATTTGTTATTTTTCTATGGGGACCAAGCTTCCTTTTAGTGAGACATCTCTATTTTTATTGTTTGGCATTTAGTGAAGGAAAACTTTCTTTTAGGTACATGGAAGAGTCTTTCCCTCAACCATAAAGTTTGGTAGCTCCAAAGCCAATGGTGATTTTTTTTTTTTTTTGTTATTTAACTGAGTGCTGGCATCATTGTGTTAGTCATGATTGTCATCATTAAAACCATAACTATACATCACCACTCTTAATTATTGTTATAGATTTGTTTAAATCTCATCTTTATCACCAACTTCAGCCTCCATTAAAGAGAACCAATGCTGTTTATTGTGCTAAAGCAAGAAGTTACTGATTAACTAATCAGGGAAATAAATTTGAGATGTTGGAAATATATAATTTTTTAGGATAAGAGGAATCGTGTTCTGCTTTTGGATAAGGAGATCATACGTCAACCAACTGAGCAAATATCCGAGTTTTTTGATGTTGGAAATGTTTGTTACCACAAATTCTAGTTCAACATTTCCTACATTGCTTTATGTTTCTCTTCTGTTCATTGAGTCCTTAACTAGAGCTTGAATTATAAGATTTAATGAGTGATTTTGTGAGAATTGGGAGGCTTGGGGAGGAAGAATGATTGGATTGAAGGAATCAGGTTCCTTGTTAATGGAAATTGCTCCTAATTTGATAACCAGGAATATGCTGCAAATGAAATGGAAGCCATGCTTGATTGAATGAACACTGACTTGACATGTCTTTTTGCATTTGGATTAAGATTCTCCCATGAATCATATTCATCCATACCAATGGTCCAAACAAATCTTACCCTGCTTTACATCCATCTGATCTTTACCTGTACCCTTCCCCTCAAAGCCTCAATCTCAGATTTTTCTTTTCTTTTCCCCTCACTTTCAGGTGCTAAGCCATTCCAAGGACAGACATCATAATTAAGACAAAGGGAAAAATTAAAATCGTCCTTTAAAATAATGGTCCTCAAAATTCTAAACCACTGTCATCAACTTTTTTTGTTACTCCAAGATGTCTCAGCTGTCATTCTTTAAGGAAAAAAATATTGAATTTGAATTCAGGCATTGAAAATAACACAGGTAAAAAGTTGGGAAATGCCAAAGCAAACTATTTGTGCTTAACTTCAGATCAACGATCAAAACTCTAAAATCATAAAAAAAAAGAAAAAAGAAAAGTGATTAAGACAAAAATAACGAGTATTCTTTATGCTTTAACGCTCAAGTCAATATCGATATTAAAAAAATAAAAAATATATATATATAAGAAAATGTGATATTAAATTAACAGTACTTGAATGGTTTTATTTATAAGCGAAATATGATAAAACTATGGAACAAAAATGTGACATAATCGAATTAACGTGATATTATAAATATTATATTGATCAAAAAATAAAAAATATCTCTTATTATCTGTTAACAATCTCTTATAAAAAAAGTGATCAATGAACTGTTTAGACACAAAAATACCCTTAACAGAAACCATCAAACTCTCTTCTTTTTCTTTTTATCAAAATTTTCTTCCAATTTTGCTGCACAAAATTTGATACAGGCTAACAACCATGGTCATCAGCTTTGTTTTGTACAAAGCAGATAAGGGCTCAAAGTCTGAAACTCATGATTAAGAGCAGCATGTGGAAAGAAAATTGCTCAACAGAAATAGCGGTCCATAAGAGATGATGCTCTTCCACAGATTTGCTTACACAATATCTTTGTATGATTAAGCAAGCAATTTTTTTAAACAACTTTTGTAGTTAGAATTACCTTTTAAAATAATAGATTTGTTATTCTGTGGACAGTTACAATGAAAGAATAAAAGCATCAAACAATGAGATTCTCTTTGCCCATCAAAATTTGGAATGTCAATGTCAAAATGAGCTTCTCTAGTGGATAAGGGAATAAAAACTGTGGATAAATGAGAGCAATAGGATCAACTTTATCTTGTTGACGATAAATTCACGTGCGGAACAATTATTCTTTTTTGGTACAATTTTCACGTTTGGATTTATAATCTTTTTTCCTATACACGAACAGTATCATATATTTAATAGTGACGAATTCTACATCACTATTTTTAAAGAAAATATGGAAAAAAGCCAAGAATTTATGCGAAAAACTTTCAAATCTATCATTATTTTTTTAGGGATGACAGTTCAATCTATATTCAATAAATTTTGATCTAATTTAATTTTTTAATATTAATTTTTTTTAAATCAAGTTGTAAATCGAATCAAATAATTTTAAAATAAAATTAGAATTGAGTTTTAGATAAACTTGTTTCAAATCGACACAATATTTATATAAAAAATTATTTTTTAATTAATTATTTAATTATATATTTATATATTTTTTAAAATTAATATTTTATTAATTTTAAATTAAATCAAATCAAATACAATTTTTCATAATATTAAATTAAGTTAGATTTTGGTATAAATAATAAAAAAATCATTGGATTGAATTTAAATATTATAAATATATAATTAAATTAAATTCGAAACAAATAAAAATTTATTCTGTCATGATATACTATCATCCTTAAGTATAACTTACATGTACGAAACTACCATTTTATCCGTACATATTGACAATGTCGTTTATCTCAATAGTGTGGAATTTCATATCATCCCATCTATTTTTACAAAAAAATTGAATAGAAATAAAAATATAAAAAAATAATACAATATCAAAATTCACATAAAAAGTTTTTAAATTAAAAAAAAATCATAAACTACAAAAGATTTACTATATGAAAAATGATTACAATCACATAGATGTGATTATCAGTCATAAAGATTTACATATATTTTCCATTATATGCTAAAATAAATGCACAACAAACTTCAAAACAAGTAAGAAATAAAAACCTTCACAGATTTAAAAGCAAAAACTTCTTATTTACTAAAGCATCAATAACCCGGATCATCAATAGTTTTTATTTACTAAAAACTTTTATCCAAATATATTTATCCCTAAATAATCTTAATTAATAAATAATTATCTAATCAATAAAATTTTATAGAAATCCCAATTAATTTATAATTAGAATTGAGTAGAGTTGGCATGGATCGGGTTCGAGACGAGCAAAATTCGTCCTGAATCTGATATGATTTTATGTGTTATTAAATTCGAATCTAATTATATTTGAAATTTTTTTATATTTGAATTTGACTCGATATTATATAAATAGTACCGACTTGAAATTAATAAAATATTATTTTTTAAATAAAAATATTTAAAAATATCATTATATATAAATAAAAATTTAAATAATTAATAAAAAATAATTTTTATATAATATCAAATCGAATCGAATCTAACTAAAATTTAAATCTAATCCTATCTTGATTATTTTTTTAATTTTATTCGATTCGATTTGATTTAAAATTTAAAATTTTTTTTTAAAATTAATCTTATGAATCGTATTGAATCAAAATATGTCAGAAATGAATTAAATTACCGATCCTATAATTGAGTCCATACCTTCAATGGGAGCTTTCTAGATATACTGAAAAGGTTTGTTAAAGAGTGGCACTGGAAGTTTTCATTTTTTTTTTTATTTTTTTAAGAACAAAGATAAGTCCACATATTCTCCTCAGGATTGGAAAGGAAAGAATAACATCTGACAGAAAAAGAAATATGCTTTTTATTGACCAAATTGACCCTTTATGAATCTCTTGGTTAGCTGCAAATCAAGCATTTGATGGGGGGAGATAATGGTAACATGATTGAAGGGGGAGGTTGAAGTGGAATCAATCCCTCTTTTGAAAGATCAAATCTGTACTGGTCAAAAACAGTTGGATTAAAGGCAAAAGACGTTAATAAAAAGGGGCCTTGGGGCTTCATGTATCTGACTATACGATGAGCATGCATGATTTCTGTGATGGACAATTTTTTTCCTATTGGGAGATAAGGGTGAAAAAAATTAAAAAAGTTAATTTAAAATTATTGTATTTGATTTGATACAAATTAATTTTTTATTTAATTTGAATTAAATTAAGATATTAATATATATATATATGTTAAGTTTGGATTGAATTTTGAATCGAAATATTAAAAATTAAAAAAAATCAAATCAAATATAATTATATAGTTTTATTAATTTATATATTTTTTAAATTTTTATAAAATCAAAATAATTATTTTATATAAAAATTTATTTAAATATATTAAAAATTTTATTAAAATAATATATAAAAAATTTAAAAATTAAAGAATCAAATAAAATTTAATTAATAAAATTTAATTCGAATAGAATCAATTTTAAAAATTATTTAAATTAAAATCAAATTTTAAAAATATATAATATTATATATTATTTTAAAAAATTAAATTAAATTCATTCCAAAATTATTATCACTTCTATTAAGAGAGAGAGAGAGAGAGATTTAAAAGAAGCATAGAGTTGTAAGTTGCACTATTGCAACAGTTCAGACTTGCTTTAATTCTGATGGGAGAGTGAAGCAATGAGAACAAGACTCAGATAAAGAAGCCAAGAAAGAAAAGGAAAAGAAAAAAATGGGAAAACAAAGCAGGGTGTGTTAAAGGCATCACACATTTCAAAGGTAATTTTAATGGAAGAAAGAAGGGATAGCTTTCCTTCTTAAAGAAAACTTGCCGGTCAGGCTCAATGCCGTAGCTGCTGCTACTACTACACACAAATCTATAACAGAGAGGTTTTGACCATTTATCATCACTTCAGTTGTAATGTTAATCATTGAAGCAACACCATCCTACCCACCAAGCCCAAGGGCAATGGTACATTTAATTTTAAAAAAATAATAAAGAAGAAATGGTTTTCAAAAGCTGCACAAAAACCCAGGAACCTTATATTACTTTGTAGTCTAATATAATTTAATAACAAATTAAATACTGATTTAAACATGCAAATTCACCATCAAATTTCACCTTTACACATCAGAAAGACCGAGTTTTGAGAGATTTGAAGGGTCCTACACAAGTCATAACCAAAGAGCAAAATGCCAAAACTTTTGAAGATACAATCACCAAATATGACACCTGTCTGTCAATCTGTCTCGGCAAATTTTCCCATGAAAAGTCTTGAGCCTCTATTCTCTTGGCACAAAATGTAACTAAATCATTTGGATCCATCTATCCAAACATTCAATATCCATTTAATCAACATCTAAAGCCAAAATGCCAAACCAAAACCCCACTTTACACATCAGATAAAGGCAAAAGAAAGAGAGAAGAGATGGGCAAGGGGCCTGCTGCTTACAAAAACAACTGAGCATTACAAGGCTAAACTTATATTTTTACTCACCAAGCCTTAAAAAGAGCCAAAAGTTCTGAAGAAAGCTAAGCACAAACACCACTAAAGAAAAAAGACCCCCAAACCCAATTATCCCCCACTCTTATTCTTTTTTCCCTAACTTAAGCTACAAGGTTTCCTTCTATACCTAAATACATTGCAAAATTATCCCCTCAAATGCACTTATACAAGTAGTATAAGCTCCGCATTCATACACTGCTGAAGAGTACATCACATAATTGAACATGCATTCGGGTTCTCGTCGCTAAACATATCGAAGGAATCAGTCGACTGTGATGAACTCGTGTTGAAATCTGATGGCTGATGTTCACTCATGTGGCCCGGGTGCATATAGGTATACGAATATGGTGGTGGTGAGGAATAATACGATGCAGTATAGCTAGTACCAGGATACGCTGTATTGTAGCTGGTAACGTACACTGGTGGTGCATGGTAATACGTTGGGTACTCAGGATACATGAGGTGCTGACTTGGAGGGCGATGACTGGCTGGAGATGGCATGGGAACAGGGCCATGAGGTCCATGACCAGTAAAATGTGATCCAATGCCTGCAGGTCCATCAACAGAATGTTCACCCTCATCAAAATTAGCATCAGCATTCCCTTTTTGCCCCTTGTTTTTTTTCTTTTTACTTCCACTGCCACTACAATCGCCACCAGTTTTCTCACCTCCAGCATTACCCTCGCTTTCACCACCACCACCTTTCTTCTCATCCACCGGTGAATGATTACCGGCCACAAAAGTCACAGTTTGCTTGACCTCAGGCTTTGGTTCCTTGACTTGTCCACCGTTTTTACCAGGTGCACCACCTTGATCACGGGCTTTGCTAACGCTACAACCCTCATCATTCTTGCTAGTGCTACCAACACTTTCACAGTTTTTTGCAGTACTGTCTTGGTGAACTGAGACCTCATTTTTCACTGTTTCTTTCTCTTTATCACCTCCATGGTTATTACTATTACCTTCTTCACTGTTTGCTTGGCCACCTTGTTTGTCTTTGTTCTTTGATTTTCCATGCTTTTTCTCTTTTTGTTCAGCTTTTTCAGGCCATAACTCTGCATATCTCCCTTTCCTTGCTAGTTTCCTGATCAAAGTTTCCACATCTACATGTAAGTTTGCTTTTACCGTTGCTTTTTGTTGTTTCAAATCAGCATAAGCCTCGTAAACGCCTGCAAATTGGTCAAAGAAAATATATATGAAAAAGGAAATTATTGCATAAATGAAAAGGCAATTTTTTTTTTTTTACAAAGTCCAGTAGGTGAGGAGAGATTAGAGTAACAATAAAAGATGAACAAGAGAGAAAATGACAGAAAATAAATTTTACCATAAAAGAATGTGTTGAGAAAAAAGAGAAAACTTTGATGAAGGAATGTGATTAACTGAAAATGAAAACAAAACCCAGATGAGAAAACCCGACAAACATCAAGATTTTGATCAGATAATAATCTATACATAACTGAACTACATTAAAAAAGAGTGATATTGATCACTTGGAAGAAACAGTAAAGTTTAGGAAACCTGGGTATGGAAAAGTTCAGAAAAAATAAAAATTAGGAAACAGAAACCTGTTAAAGAACAAAAACAAATTAAAGGATTGAGATTTGAGATGGTCTAGGAAGTACCCTCGATCTTTCTTAGAGTCTTTTCAACTTTCCTCTTGCAGCCTTCACAATGAATGGAGACTTTCAACTCCCAAGCCTGGGGAAAACAGGAACATAAAGGTGAAAAACAAGGTCTGAGAATCCTGTTAAAATTTAAAAGGGAAGATTTTAATATTAATAAAGTTTAAAAAAACCATGCTTTACCTTGTACTTGAGAGGAGGTTCTTGGTTTTCTTCTGCTTCTTTAGATTCTGGTTTGGCTTCTGGCTTAGATTCTTGTTTAGTTTCTGGTTTTCCTTCTGCCATTAGGACAAGAGTAAAGAGAGGCACAGATAAACTATAATTTTTTTCTCAGAATTGAATTTAAAAGAGAGAAGAGAGAGGAAAGAAACTGTTGGGAAATACTTAAGTTAAGAAGTGAAGGCTTAATGGGAGAGAGAGAGAGAGGAAAAAATCAAGTAGGGCCTAGGAGTTGGTGCCCGATGGGGTGGCAAAGAAGTAGCTGCTGCTGCTGAGTCTGAGAAATGAATTTATTACATTAAATTTTTTCTTGCAAGCTTTGCTTTTCTCTGAAATGGACACCTATGAAGGTTAACACTTTGATGCTTTTTGTTAAATGCTTCCTTTTGGAGGCTATGACTAAAGAAATTTTGGCTGCTTTTTTTTTCTTCTTCTTTGGATGCTGCATAGGAATTTCCTGCTTAATAGTGACAAACCACTAAAAATTTCCTTGCATGCACAAGGAGGAATAACCTTTTAATGTATTAAATCATCCCAGCTTACCTCATATTCTTTACTGTTATAACACATGATTTGAGGCAAAAGAAAGGGTTTCAATCAAAAACAAAATATGATGAGATTCTGGATTAACGGACATGATAAGTTACTTGTCATAAAATTAGAGAGCAAAACAGAGTTAATGGGATAAATGATAACTAAACCAGCGACAGTATTCATAGATGAGTTGTCGGGTAAAATAGCAGTAAACTTAAAAATGACAATGGGTTAAGCTGGAATGAGATTTTGTTGTTTTTTTTCAAATTTATTTGATTTTAAAATATTATTTTTTATATATAATCTAACTTGATTTCTGTATACATAAAATTATAATTGATTGGATTTTAAATTAATAAAATATTATTTTTAATATAAAATATTTTTTAAATATAACTATAAAATTAAATATAAATATAAAATAATAAAATATATTATATATATTGAAACGGATTGAACGAGGTTGTTTAAAATCTAATTTTAATTTTTAAAAAATGGATTCAAAGTTTGATTTTTTTAAAATTAATTTTGTAAAATTAGATTGAATAGGAATTCGACGGATTCAAATTAGATTAGCAACCCTAAGTGAAATTGGTAAAAATGCTTATAAGCTATTATAATTTTTTTATGACCGGAAATTCCAATTTTGGGAACGGAAATTGTACCAATTTGTAACATACATTTATTCCTATTGGAAGGTACCATGCAATGAGCAACTAGCTTTATGGAGGATAGTTGCCTAAGAGTTACCTAATTAGTAAGAAAACCACCAACATTAAGCATCAAGTCAATTTTATAACACGTAATGCTTGCTTACTTGGTTCAATGAGTCATTGAGAATAAAGCTGCCCTTTGTTAGTTGCCAAACTAGTGGTCCAACTTATTTCTCCTATAATCTCCTATAATATAGTCTGATTTACAGCTTTGCCTGCATTGCCTAATCTTTATTGAGATATTCATAGGCCTGCCCCCTTTCTCTTTATAAACAAATTGTAAAAGCATAACACTATGATTTAGATTTAAGACTTGAGATTTCAGAAAAAGAGACTTGAGATTTGATCCCAACTTCATTGTTACTGTTTTGAATCCTTGCCAATATATATTACAATATAAATTTGAAAAAAAAAAAAACAAACTAAAAGAACCCATAAGACAAAATTTTAGAAGTTTTCTTTGTGGAAATCAAATTTGGTACTGGTCTTCCTTGAAAAGTCTTGAGCTAGCTTCCTTAGCTCCCCTGTTAATCCAGGTGCACCACAGTAAAACACTCCTGCAGGAAAAAAAAGTTCAAGCTTTAGGAATATTTCATGGAAATGTAGAATTTTAAAGCTAGTAATGGAAAGCAAATACATACCAACTCTCTGGTCAGCATGGTTAACAGCAACATGCTTGAAAACCTTGTGCCAACTTGGCCTGGCAAAATGTGTCTTCACCCTGGTTCCTGAAACAATATCAACCCCACTTTTGGCATGGTGGAGGGACTGAAGCATTGTGATCAAAGCCGATCTAGCATCCCCTTCTTCATACACACTTGTGCAGTAATTGTGAAGCTCAATCACCCTATCTCGATCATACTCAGCCACCTCATTCATCACCCCCCTGAACCACTCAAATGAACCTTGCTCACGAGTAACCCAGTAGAAATAGGCTCGTTGAGTGGCAAAGGGCTTTCTCTTGTTCTTGACTCCTGTCTCTATCCCTTCTTCGATTTCCTTTTGTTGCTTGATGTTGTTAAGTACATCTTTGACTATGCTGATTAAGGGTGTGGCACCAATGCCAAGTCCTACAAGCAGAAGGACATCATATTTTTTGTAGTCCTGTGCTGGAGCTCCATAGGGACCATCAATCAAGAGCTTTGGCAACCTGTTTAGTAAATAGATTAAATCCCATCTTACGGTTCAGATAACCATTGAAAAAGATGAGAAACAGATTGGAGAGAAAAAGTTACCTAGGCTGGTTTTCGCCTTTTCCAGTATCTGCTCTCAGAAGGCCACTTTGATCAACTGATGGCGGCTGACAAACCTGCAAACCATGAATTAATGCAAAACTATTAAGACATGTTTAAGTTTAGAAAGGAGACATGTTGAGAAAGAATGATCACCTTTACGAAAAGGGCCTTAAGTTGGGATGTCCAGTCTCCTAAGGTTCGGATGTGAATACTTAAATAGTCATCTCCAGGAGCTGAAGTGATGGAGAACGGATGCCTGAGAAGCAAAATCATTGAAGGATCATTTTTTACTGTTATTGAAACTGTGAAATCAGGAAAACTGCATTTATTGTTCATGCTCTTACCATTGAAATGGGGAGACTGCTGCACAGTTCACAAAGATATATTGGCCACTGGTGTACTTAAATCCTTGAGGCTTAGACATTTGCAGGGACAGTACATTTCCAGGGTACACAGCAACCTGAATTATAAACAGAACTAAATATTAGCCTCGTCTGACCAGTAAATGTGATAAATTTGACATTTATGGGGAGTGGAATGCACCTTCAAGATCTTCACTGACTTATAGCCAGACCTAAATGCCCGAATTAGGCGTTCACACGCATATAATAGCATTGGAACTGCTAGATACATCCATGTCTGCAGAAAATAGCAATGTCGCAAAAACAAATTTAAATCTTATGGAAATGTCATCATAGTGAAAATATTTCACACTCGCTAGTTTTTGAGACACTTACTGTCTTTTTGTACCATTTCTTGGAGAGGTAGAGAAAGTATCCATGAACAATGAAGAGAGCATAGACAATAACAAATAGATGATGTGAGTACCAAAAGGCATTAAATCCAGTGAGCTTCTTAATGGCTTTAGGGAGGTTTAGCCGGTTCCGGCGAAACCAAGGCTGAGCTAGTATGTAGGCTATGGCCATGAGCACCACCATGGCCACACCAGTCCAGCCCTCTGTCCCTTTCACGAACCACCAGTAGTTGTTAGGCCGTTCATCCCCAAAGAATGGCTTCATTGGCTCATATTCTTCATCAGTGGCATGGAGAAGTCTAGGGAAGTCACATGTTAGATGTGCACCAGCATGCAAGCCAACGCCAATAGCAATTCCCAAAGCAACCACCTACAGAAATTTATTCAAATCAAGATTGTTATTTCTTCTATACAAAAAGTGTTTGTTGAACTTCGATAGAATGAATATAGTTTGGCCCTCTGTTACTTGGAAAAGGATGTGTCATACACGAGTAATTTACAATTTTTTCTAGGTTTTTCAATATATTTGACGGGTCGAACCTTCATACCTATGTGTCTGTCGGATTTGTATAGGACACAACACAAGTGCTTCAAGGACAATGAAGAGTAAGAGAAACATAGGTTTGGTTATCACATACCTTGTGAAAATTGATATTGTCATCGAATGGGACAACCACCCCTAACTTTGTCCTGCTTCTAAGCCAAGTGATGGTATTTCTGCACACTGGAAGAAGAATCAGGGCCATGTTGAATTTAGTTGTCTCAGCTGCACCCTTGGCTGTGGTAACACAGTAGCCCATCACATCAAATACAGCCCGATGTTTGTATTGAATGAATTTCCAGGTGAATAGGCCTGCACAGATTGAGATCCACAAGGCCAGGACCCATATTCTTTTCCAATTGTCCATCAGAAAATAGGCTAATCCCCTGCCCCATCTTTTAATGGGGTTTCTCTCTTTTGTTGGCACCAATTTTTCACTCAATAGCCTGCTTAAAATACGGCTGTCTGTCACCAAGTTTGCTGATTGACTTGGAGCTTGGAGAAGTAGTGTTTCCAAATTGTATATCTGAAAAAGGAAAAAAAAAAAAAAAACAACAGATCCTGTTAGTGCAAGTATTGTCTTGTCTAAGCCTAGGCCTCTTCTTTTACTCCAAGGTCCATATACAAATTGGGTCATGCTAAAAATAGGTGTGGCAGTGACAAGGTGCTGACCTCAATGTGTCCAAGGTTGTCTTTGTCCAGTTCTTCCATGATTAGGGCTGCATATTCTTCTGCACTTTCTTGGATTTTTGACAGCTTGTTGGCACTAGCACTCAATGCAATAATCTGCATAATAATTTATTGAACACTTGTAAATATTTTTTTTATGCGTAGTGGAGCTTAATTAAATACCTTTTCTAGACCTTTTTACTAATTCTTTTCTCACTCACCTCTTTCACCTCTTCTTCAGTGATCCTCCCGTCAGCATTTTTGTCAACCCTGCATTGACCAACATCTTCATTTCAAAGAAAGCAAAGTCTAGCAATGGTTTCCTTATTAATGAGAAAAGAAATTTCTTGGTGGTGATTTGATTCTTAATTATTGTCTAAATTAAGTTGATATTTTGTATTGTACAACCAACTTAGAGAGTTTAAGAATTATTTTGAAGTCAACAGATTGGATAGCAAGAGAAGTATTTTCACCCACCATCAGGCTTCACATGCAGAGAGGGCATAAAATGGGGGTTTAATGATTAATTACTTGCATGAATATTAAAGATTTTAATCTTGTTTCTTGGCATAATTTTGTCAAGACAATAATTATCTAATGTTTAGGTGAAATCTGTCTCTACTGTCCAACTTACTTGACCTTACTGACCTGCTGCTTCCGAAATTTTGTTTTTTTTTTTTTAAATAGGATGAGGAGAGACTTTTCCATTATAGAGTCGAATAGACAACAGAACCTAAGACTTATATTAGATTTATAGATTGTCTATTAAAAAAAATTACTAGTAGCGGAAAAAAATTTAAGTCTTACGAATGAAATATTCGATTCTTAAACATTTTACCAACCTTCGTTGGCCCGAAATTTCCAAATTCAGTGGAATAATTCGAACCAGAAAGAAA